TTACAGAAGGCACACAGGTCAAATTTGTTTTGCTAATCATCTAGGCACGTGTGGATAACGGTACAGCCATTTTATGGCAATAATTCACGCATCCGACCGCCGTAACAATTAGATCTTAGTTTGTACACAAATTCTCCAGCCGACAGCTGAGTGAGTGGCAAATGGCAAACTAAATTGGGCATATGCACCTAACCACTCACCATACCTCTGCAAAAGTGATTCCTCGCCTCACGTTTTGAAGGTGTGCATTTGAATCCCAAGTAAAAAACCTACCCTATCGGGTAGATAGTCCGAATGAAAGAGTGGCTTCTCTTGGAAGGATAGGATTTCCATAGATGAGACCACTGATTATCGATTGTACTCTAGGTAACTCATTTCACTCATGACTGACTGATTCTATTGTTTGCTTGATAATGTATTAACATTTCTGCTTAGGATAGAATACTTTGTGATTGTACTTGCTTTCGTAGTCCTTGGGCACAGCGAAACCTATAGTGGAATGTACCTGTGGAGAAATTTTGGAGATTTACGGATATGCCACAGTTTGATCTTCTTGCTCCCCTCCACTGAGCTCACGGTCTTCAGCATGAACTGGACTTAACTTATTGTCCACGCATGCTGTCTGTCAATGAACCATATGATTAACCATATGACAGTAAACTTTTTATTGTCTTTTAAAGTCTTAAGCAGAGCTGATGTATAGAGTCCACACTTCAAGTCATTAGTCATTTCCTCTAAAACGAAGACACTAACTCTCGTAGGGGTAGTGTCTGACTCATACTATTATTCAGACGTGTCATTATTTGCGATGCATGCAAAACCGCTGGCTTTCTAGTCAACCTTCCTTCTACGGAGGACATGTTTGTGACATCCTTGTCGCTGTTTATATCCCATAGTTCCAGACGTCTCACAGTTTCTGTCCTACTCCGTGGGTTGTCACAACCACTGATTGAGACTGACTTCATCCTTGCCGTGGTGATTCTTTTCGTTCGGCTTGGTAAGATTCACTTGCTCAAAACACTCGGCGAAATTTTCTCCAGAGCTGATTCGCGTAGGTCATTCCGAACCAGACGAGTGGCCAGATGTTATTTTCACATGACCCTCACACTTCGTGACAGCTTAACATGAAGCTGGCCATCGATTTAAAAAAAGGCTGAACCGTATATTTCGGTCAGTTGTATTCAGCCTGTTGAAAGGCAACCAGTCACTCATTGTTTTTTCCCACAGCACAAAAAAGTCCCATCACCTGTGAGACTACATCGGAAGTTTTTGTCTGCAACAAAACCACATTTCATCCACTTTTCTGAGGGACTCACTCCAGTATTTACCATACATTTTGTTTACTTCAGAGTAGTGCTGTATTCCCTATCTAGTCCTTCCCAGAAGTTTCTGTTGAGTATTCACTGTTTAGCTGCGACTATAGACTCCCTCTTTCTGATCAGATTGGGTTCAAGTAGAACATAAGGTCAGCAGAAACTCGGGAACTGCATCTACCTGATTAGCCCACAGGAGGCTGGTCGTGAGCTGTCGAAGAGTAAGTAGTATGGGTAGTGTGTTACGTCTGTCCATTGTATTGCGATATCTCAAATACCATACCAACTGAAATATGGGGCGGAATGGTGCAACAAATTCACTTGAAGAAGAATATCATAGGAATTCAGCAGCTGTCGAAGAGTAAGTAGTATGGGTAGTGTGTTACGTCTGTCCATTGTATTGCGATATCTCAAATACCATACCAACTGAAATATGGGGCGGAATGGTGCAACAAATTCACTTGAAGAAGAATATCATAAACGAGGAATTCAGCTGGGTTGAAAATGAGTCTCTCCTGAGAATTAAATTGGTATTCAAATGAGTGTATTTGTCAGATTGACTATAAGTCAGAATCAGGAAGTCGCATAATCACAGTTGGGAGTATGTGTAAATATTACCATGTTCAGCGCCCTTGTATATTTTTCATTCTTACTCACAAGCTAATTTTTCGGCGGGATTGCAGTTGGAGACACAGTTGCGTTGCATCCAAATGGGCGGAGAGCGATGGCCGACTTATTCCCAATTTGTCAGACAGTTGGTTTACCACGGACCTCCAATAACTTGCGACTCAACCATCGAACTATTTGTAGAGTTCTGACTGACTGATTTACAAAATACTAGAGATTGGTTTGAATTATTCTCGGAATATCTGGCGGTACACAGTTTTTGTGTTGCGTCACGCACTGCTTTTCGTTTTCAAACGTGCTGTCACAACTATTAAATAAACTCATTTAATTTGTAAACGTCATTTGGAAAGGTATACGCGCAAGCTAACGTATTGCAGACTGCAATTCGAGCATAGTTATTAGATGCTTGACAGTAGAATTGGCCATTTACACAGTTCGCATACTCGCGTTTTCCTAATCGCCCGTCAGACTTCTCAGTGAGACTAATATTACTGATGATAGATTTTATAACCGCTATTTTGTGGAACCTATTCTAGTCTTCAGAGACCCACTGTTCAAATGGGGACAAAGGAATGCCCAACGGATAACCTCACTCATGTCCCAACGACAAAAATCAATTAATTCACGCCCACATCACTCTTGTTTGAACAGTCATCCTCTCGTTCTGGTGCAATAGTTCTGGTAAGAAGCACTGGACTTGAGTTCCGCTCTTATTAGGGCTCATCAGCAGTTAATATATCTGGTATGGACTCACCAGAATAATTGCTCCAGGATGGAAAGATGACAGAAGGATTCACCATACAACACTTTTCTGAAAATGTAGAATCATCTGTTGTCGCATGTTTCCTAATTAAGCTTTTCCTAGAATAGCAGTTGCGAGAGGCATCATGGGTGAGTTCTCAAGATATTTAAGCTATATTTAACACTTCCAGGGAACCAGTTTGTGATTGCTACAGTTTTCCCTAAGTATGACCTTGTGAATTCATCGTTTCTGAAGCTTGTTCAGGTCACCACTCTCCTGACTGACTGCATGAATACCAGTTGCAACGGAAAACAATTCTACTTGGTAGTTGTCCAAACACACAGAATCGCTACTAATATGATAGGTGTGTTTGGTCGAACGATATCCGTCTTTGATCACCAGCATGTCAGAATTTGTGCGGACCCCCCCCCACGTTTTGAAATCAGAAATAGGTCAAATCCCGACAACAACAGTGATTTGATTTGAAGGTAAATGTGACGATTAGTAATTTGGCCTTTGTGAGATTTCCATCAATCGCTTTTCGAACGTAAATCAATTTTCGCAAGTATTTCAGGCAGTCGGATTGACACGCTTCAACGACAACTCGCAAACATACATCGCATTGTTGTAAATCGACAGAGAGAGGGGGAGGGACGGAGATGATAGATCTCTTTGGAGCAAGGCCACTCAATTGTTATGTTTTTTATAGTTACAAGAGTGTTTAGTCTCTTAATTCCTTCAATTCCGACGAAATACATTTGGTAGTGTTCTAATGAGGAAGTTGAATACCCTAAGAGATAGATACAGCTTACATTCTTCAGTTATCTCTGATGGTAAATGGTCGTGAATTCTTCACCTCGCCTCTTGACTAACTGCTGAAAGCCAATTTTGTCATTCGATCGTATCCAGATAGATTTAGGCTGTTCGTTGTTTGAATTCCCAAAGTAGTTGTTTTTCGTACTAAAGTATCTGGGTCGCAGTAATCCTCCCCGTGTTCAAGCTGGATTTTTATTGTTGATTTTTTCCCTCAACATGTGAGAATCCCTTGTTTTTTAGGATGACCTGTTATTCATCGTGCACTCACCAGATCCCATTATTAATGGCGAACAACGCCTGATGAAGAATTTTCAGAATCTCCCCCGGAGTTATATATATATATATATATATATATATATA